TCTTCATAAGTTAGTGACCCTATGGATATCAACACTTTGAGGCCGGTACATGCAGCTGATGAATCGAGAACGGGATGAAACATGTGTTCTGTACCACAATGCTAACCACGATACAAATATACACTAAACCATTTTACCCTTTAATTTTCCTCTAAACTTATTAGTTTCTGTAGACTGTCGATATACGGAAATGCTAACGAACTTACTTACTTACGTACCCCTGTTACTACTCGTGAGGGAGCATAGGCCGCTCACCAGCATTCTCCATCCAACCCTGTCCTAGGCGATCCTTTCTAGCTCCGTCCAGTTATAATTCATCCTTTTCATATCTGCTTCTATTATCCGACGCAATGTGTTCTTTGGCCTTCCTCTTTTCGCTTTCCTTCAGGATTCCAAGTTAGGGCTTGCCTCGTGATACAGTTTGACGATTTGCGTAATGTATGTCCCATCCATTTCCATCGTCTTCTTCTAATTTCTTCTTCAGGGGGAAGTTGGTTTGTTCTCTCCCACAGAAGGCTGTTGCTGATGGTATCCGGCCAATGGATGTTGAGTATCTTGCGAAGACAGCTATTTATAAATACTTGTACTTTCTTGATTGTGGTTGTTGTAGTTCTCCAAGTTTCAGCTCCATACAGTAGAACTGCCTTGACGTTCGTATTGAAGATTCTCACTTTGATATTGGTTGAAAGTTGTTTTGAGTTCCATATGTTCTTCAATTGTAGGAAAGCGGCCCTTGCTTTGCCGATCCTTGCCTTTACGTCTGCATCGGATCCTCCTTGTTCATCGATGATGCTTCCCAGGTATGTGAAGGACTCTACATCTTCCAGAGTTTCGCCATCAAGTGTGATTGGATTGCTGTTCTCCGCTTTGAATTTGAGGACCTTCGTTTTCCCTTTGTGTATACTGAGGCCTACTGATGCAGAGACTGCTGCTACACTGGTTGTCTTCATCTGCATCTGTTCGTGTGTACGTGATAGGAGAGCTAGGTCATCTGCGAAGTCCAAATCGTCTAATTGATTCTGAGCTGTCCATTGTATTCCGTGTTTTCCCTCAGATGTCGAGGTCTTCATAATTCAGTCGACCACCAGAAGAAAGAGGAAGGGAGAGAGTAGACAGCCTTGTCTGACTCTGGTCCTTACTTGGGATGCATCTGTCAGTTGTCCTCCATGCACTACTTTTCACTGTATTCCGTCGTATGAGTTCCGGATAATGTTGACAATCTTCTCAGGAACTCCGTAGTGTCGAAGAAGTTTCCATAACATCTTCCTATCTACACTGTCAAACGCCTTTTCATAATCAATTAAGTTGATGTACAGTGACGAGTTCCACTCAATTGATTGTTTGACGATGATCCGTAGTCTCGCAATTCGATCTGTGCACGACCGATCCTTACGGAATCCAGCTTGTTGATCTCGAAGTAGGGCGTCTACTACGTTTTTCATCCGGTTCAGCAACACTCTGTTGAAGACTCCCTGGTATTGACAGTAGTGTTATGCCTCTGTAGTTTTCACATTTGCTCAGATTTCCTTTCTTTGGAGTCTTGGCGAGGTGTCCTTTCCAGTCCATCGGCACTTGTTCCTCCTCCCAAATCTTTTTTGAATAGAAGATAAAGCATGCTTGTGGTTGTTTCGATGTCTGATTTCAGTGCTTCAGCTGGTATGTTGTCGGGTCCTGCTGCTTTCCCGTTCTTGATTTGTCTGACGGCCATTCTAATTTCTTCCGTAGTTGGTGGATTGACATCTATAGGAAGATCTATGTGTGCTGCTTCGATGTTCGGTGGATTCATAGGAGCCGGCCTATTCAGGAGTTCCTCGAAGTATTCTACCCATCTGTTACGCTGTTGTTGAATTTCGGTGATTGGCTTGCCTTCTTTGTCTTTGACTGGTCTCTCTGGTTTACTGTATTTCCCTGATAGTTTCTTTGTTGTATCGTGAAGCTGTTTCATATTTCCTTCTCTAGCAGCTTTTTCTGCCGTCGTTGCTAATTCTTCCACGTATTTCTTCTTGTCAGCTCTAATGCTCCTCTTCACTTGCTTGTTTGCTTCTATGTATTCAGCTTGTGCTTGGACTTTCTCTGCTCGTGTTCGGCTGTTGTTTATTGCTGCCTTCTTGTTCTTCCTTTCTTTGATCTTGTCCAGTGTTTCTGTAGAGATCCATTCCTTATGATGGTATTTCTTTAGACCGAGAACCTCTTGACACGTTGAAGTTAATGCTTCCTTGATGCCTTTCCAGTTGTCCTCCATAGTAGTTTCTTCTTCCTTCAGTAGATCTTGTAAGGCTTGGAACCTGTTGTTGAGAGCCATCTTGAATTCATTGAGTCTGTCAGTATCTCGAAGGAAGGCTGTATTGAACCTTTGTAGTGCTGTTTGTCCACTTGTCCAGTTTCGTTTTAGCTTCAGTTTTAAATTGGCTACAACTAGGTGGTGATCTGAAGCTACGTCAGCACCTCTCCTGGTTCTCACATCTTTCATTGTCCTACGGAGATTTTTGTTGATGCAAATATGACCTATTTGGTTCTCTGTAGTGTGGTCCGGTGAGATCCATGTAGCCTTGTGTATACGCTTGTGTGGAAATATTGTGCCCCCTATGACCAATTTGTTGAATGCACATAGATTTGCAAATCTTTCTCCATTTTCGTTTCTTTCTCCCAGTCCATGTCGTCCCATAATATCTTCATACCCGGTGTTGTCTATTCCGACTTTGGCGTTTAGATCTCCCATTAGAATAGTGAGGTCCTTTCTTGGGCATTTCTCTATGATTGACTGCAGCCGCTCGTAGAATTGATCTTTAATGTCGTCGTTGCTATCATTGGTGGGTGCATAACATTGGATAATATTCATTGTGATCCCATCCTTCTTTGTTTTGAATGATGCTTTGATGATTCTGGATCCGTGAGGTTCCCATCCTACAAGTGCATTTCGTGCTACTTTGGACAGCATAAGAGCGACTCCCTGAGTGTGTGGAGCATTTTCATCTTCGTGACCGGAGTATAGCAGCATCTCTCCCGTAGCTAGCCTTTTCTGTCCAGCTTGGGTCCAGTGGGTTTCGCTGATTCCCAGTACTGCTAAGTTGTATCTCCTCATTTCCATTGATATTTGACTGGTCTTCCCGGTTTCCCACATTGTTCGAACGTTCCATGTACCTATGAAAATTTTTGCTCTGGTTGTTAGAAGGGGCATCGGCCTCGTGACTTCCGAAGGAACTCGGCTTTCACCATGAAGCGTTATAATTCTTCTAAATGAAGACCTTCTAACTCCCAGGGCAGAGTTAAAATGGTTTGGATTATTTTTTCTGGTAAGCGTTTTTTTAGCGAGTTAGTTTTCTACGGGATGGGGACGCTAACCCCATGCCCAACCCTCCTCCTTTACCCGGGCTTGGGACCGGCAGCAACCCTATAAGAGCTACAGGCGGAGTTAAATGCTAACGAAGCACATACATTTTTAAATTTTCGTTTTTTTTTACTTTGATGCATCAATTTAAAATTTCCACTTTAGGACTAACTTGAGTAGCTTTTCTACTGATTATAAACAGTTGTAAAAATAAGCACATTTGCGATTTTACTAATCTTAGTAGTTCCATTAATTCTTGGAGTTTCAAATTCTTTAGAGGAAAACGTATAAGGAATAAAAATAAAAAAAATTATGAATTGATAATAATAAATACAAAGTGACTCAAAGATAGGACATGTTTCTTCTATATACAGACACCAGACTTCATATGTTAGCTAGCCAAAGCTCCTAACCATTAGAGCTTTTAAACATTAAATTAACTGTGAGGATTTAGCTACGTCATTCAACGATTCTTGCTTGGTCTATAAAGTTTGTTCTAACATAAAATAAGTGAATAGTTTCATAATCCATAAAGTGGATATGAATTGTAAGTTAATACAATAATCATCCTATTGATGGATAACTATTCTTAAAGTAGAAAATTAGTTTGAATAATTAGATTTGAAGATGCTTTTTATTACGAACTAAACAATACTTGGAAATATATTAAAAAGCCAAGATATCTAATTAACATTTTCAGTAATTCAGTTAAAAATAGTGACTTGACAAAAATTTTCACTAACACAGTTCTCTAAAACATACACATAAATATCCATATAACTATATTGTTTACTTGAATCTTCTTATTGATGTTTAAGACTGCAATTGATCAACCTCTTATTGGTATATGTTTGGCTATCAAAGCTCAGTAGACTTAGTAAATAACGCAAAAGCGTTTGAAGTAAACAGTACTGGATTCTAGTCGCAGAGTGAACATCAACTCTGACATACAAGTATATCCAGCTGACAAGTCCCAAATAAGACAATAAGTGCATCAATCTGGATTCTACTGTTAACCACTATTCATCTTTGCTTATAATCTCATTAATTATTAAAGAACTCACTGAAGACAATGATGAATGTGTCTCTCAATTTCGTGGATTAGTTGAAGTTAGATATTAACACCGTTGGATGCCAGCCGGCTCAGTGATCTAGTGGTTAAGTGCTCGCACGCGAAACCATTAGGTCCTGGGTTCGAACCTCGCAGGGGGCGAGGTCGTGGATGCTCACTGCTGAGGAGTCCCACAATAGGACGAAATGGCCGTCCAGTGCTTCCAGGTTTTCCATGGTGGTCTAGCTTCAATTGACTCATGATCTTAACCATTGATATTAAAGAACAATAACATATAATGTATTAGTAATAATAATAATAATAATAATAATTTATTTGAAATCTACAAACAATAAAAGTGCTTGCTAGTTCATAAACTTAATTCTTGACAAAATCCCCTAATGTAAACTAACCAATAAACTCAAAGGTTATTTAAATTTTGATGTATATATATACATGAACAATCAGTAGTAAATGTTTTTTTCTGAGTTCATATGAATAGAACTAATATTAACATTGAAAATGATAATAAGAATAATCATTCAATCATTTATTCATTTTATACTTTTCTACTATTTTATTATTTCAGTAAAATGTAAACATATTTGTAAATTACAATCAATGGAGAAAATTGTATGTTTTCAATTTTTTTCTTCTAATGATTAGACTCATGGAGGTTTTACACAAGGTATACAAACACGTCAAATAAATAATCAACGCTTAAATATCGTACCATTGTTTGCTTCGAATTTTAACAATAGTCCAAAATCTAAATTTTTAAAGGTGAAAAGAGATTAAATGTTTTGTTTATCTTATTAACTGATAATTGTGATGTATAGTTTTCCTCTATTTTTGTTTCAATACTTAACTTAGAGGTTAGTAAACATTTTGATTAAAGAGCTGAATAAATGCAATTGGTAAGTAAATATGTATTACATATTATGTATTAGTGGAATTCGCATCTATTTATGTAGTCCTCAAAGTTGACGTTAATTTATCAGTGAAATGAATAAAACTGTGCTGTATTTCACTAATCGGTTGGAATCAAGAGTCATTTTTACCGTGGTGTGTAATTCCATACTGGTTATCCATTTTTATCAACAAGTTGAGATCAGAACTCTATCCCACAGAACTTCATTAAATGAAAATACTTGTTCGAAGATGCAAATTCACCCCGAAAATAAACATTTTAATTGTAAAATCTTCCGAGAAGTGAAACGATTAGGATTGCAATCAATGTAAAGTGCTTAAGCTTTATACTTAGGTTAATTTCAGCCTGAAGATCTGTTAATCACAACTGAAAATTACGATCATTCGCCGTAATATCAAAGGAAATTGGAAGAGTAAGCAAATTAAACGCTTTGAGATCTTTGAACTACCACAAAAATTAGTTCGTTCGAGTTGAAATTTAGCAAATATATTCCTCGATATAATATACTAAAGTGGAAAAAGCCTGAATTGTGATACTATAATTTATGGACGACTTTTCATCAACGTCAAAATGACCTTAGGACGTCCACCTACTTACAAGGGTTAAATGAGGGTTATATATTGGTGTGAGGAATTTAAATTCGGATTTACGGTTGAATGTTGGGGTTTGGAATTAGATTTCATGTTTTTATTACAAACTGGCATCAGCTATAATGCTAAAATGGTATTTAGCCAAGTGGATGAAAGAATTGAGCACCAAAATCCAAGATCTGCTATCTTAAATTTAATTGGTTCGCCCATAAATTATAATCTCGCCAATCTGAATAAATAAAAAAGAAATACTTACGTTTATTTATCGTAATGAAATCTCCATATTCTTTATTTTAGAATGAGATAGTTGATAAAGCATTATACTTCTGGCAAAATGCTCTCAGTGTTAAACGGCCATCGAACAGAAACCTACTGATCAGAAGGTAAGATGATAGAGATAGCATAATAATTTAGAATTTAATAAATATCATGTAAAAAATTGTTTACTATGAATACTGTTTTATTTATTTTCATTGGAAGATCTTATAAAAAATCACATATATTTGATTTATTCTCAAATGATTTTCTTTTGAACACGCCGTGATGCAGTTTTATATCACACTTACAAGATGTGTAGCCAATATACATTGGTTTGAATGTTAACAGTGCTGTCCAAACAAGAGTTTCAACTATAGACTTAAAAATCGATTTTTCTTGATTTTAGTTAATCTTGCTGAATAAGATAAGTTTTGTGATCCTTATCTATTTATTAAAGCAGACTAAATAGAAGTTCATTCACTCATTCCGTTCTTGAATCAACCAAATGTTTTTTTTATTGGTGTAACCCTGTCTACTAATCCCTTGAAAACTATTATTTACACCTCAATTTATTGTGACTAACCAGTGAGAAGTTATAGGAATAAACCAATATAGGCCACAAAATATAGAGAAAATCAATCGAACACGAGGGAAATTTCTGAAATTCTTAGAAATTACAACTTTATCTATGACAACGTTTAATCTTTGTTAATTAATACATGGTTCTTTCTGTTTTATACCAATTTACAATAAAAATAGAGATTGTATAGATGATAGACTTTGGTTCTTTCCCTCCAAAAATCGATCGCTTGACACAGTTTGCGAACATGCTTGTCATCCGTCAGCTAAATGCCATACAATGCAAGTACCTGAGAACTTTTTACAAGTAAGTCTGTGAGTATGTACGTAACAGTATATAAAACTATACACCTCTTTTCGTGAACTATATAAAAAAATAGAAATCAGACTTCAAGTTTAATCAATAATAAGACCGAAGAATTCTACAAATCTCCATATTGGTCTATGACATAGAAAACTGTAAACGAAGAATAAAGCAGTTTCTAACGATTCACAATCACTATCATCCTATCATTAGACATTTAGTAACAACATGAATGTTTCTTAAGATTAAGGAATAAAACTTTCGAGGAAAAGCCAGTGAAGACGTGAATCTAATGACTACTGTATTATAGTTAATTAAATCAAAATTTTAATGTTCATCTCACCATTAAAAAACTGTATTCAGGATGTATACTACTCATAAAATAAAAAAGTATTTGGAAGTAATTCTACTCATAAACAGAACCCTTTGTCAAACCACAGAACTTTTTGGAAAATATTTAATACGAGTTTGTGACTTACAAATAATATGAAATTTTAATCCAACAAGGGATGAAAATAAGGATCTTCTAGCCATTCAATGAGTACAATGTCCTTCAAACTCTGAGGTTTTCACCTTAACCTTAGGTTATTTTTGATACAATCAGATTCAAATGAGTTATAAACTAGGAAAATACAGTTATCCTGTACTTTCTAGTATTTTCCAATTATTATAAATTTGCAGTGAAAAATAATTCCAAATTTTACAAAGTATCCATTCAGTCATCTTAGCAAAAAATGTGACTGGTCTTAACTCTTTACTATACAGTAATTATTTACTTGATATGAAGTTATATGGAAAATTATGGTGAAACTAATCAGTTACATGAATTTTTCATTTTCATTTGTTATAAACAATAATCACTTGTACTATTGTATGTTAATTAAATGTTCACTAAACAAAATATGATTGTAAGCAAAGATGGATAGTGGCTAGCAGTGGAATTCAGGACGCGCAATTCGTCCTTTTTGAGACTCTTCAGCTGGATGAGTTGTTGTTCCCTCTTGGACTCAAACCCAGGACCACATATGCCAATAAAAGACTGATCAATTGCAATCTTAAACGTCAATCGGAATATTCAAGTAAAACAATACCAAGTGAAAATATATTTGTCTTTATCACTTTTCAAAAGCGAACAAAAAAGCAACCAAATTCAAGGAAATTATATTTTGGCATAAATTCCAATTTCAAAATTAACATCACTCATCAATGTATAAATGTGAACTTTTATATTATTTCTTCAGATCAAAGTGTAAGAGAAAATCAGTTGAATTAGAGTTAACAAAAACTACAAAAGATTAATATATAGCAATTACTAATAGTCAACTACTTACAAAGAATATCAATTTATTTCAGATACCACTTATTTTGATTAGTGAAATGATTTCTTGTTTTCTATAATAACAATCAATTTACTGTTTATTATTATTTTTCTAATGAAGGCATGTAGAACACGATATGCAACTACTGGATCTGATGGTTCCGGTATACCAGGCGAAGGATATTTAATGATAGTTGACGCATCGCCAGGTGGTTTATGTAATGATAATTGGTTGTTAGCTTATGCAAACGCTTGTCAGTTGGAAGGAAATACTGATCGGTTAAAAACATATATATATATATATATATATATATATATATATATATATCACCATTACATTTAAAACTAGAAATACATTGTTTTCGTAAACCGGTATAAACTGAACTTGATACTGAATACAGTAATTGTGACTAAGGTAAAATAAATAGTATCGTTAAGGATCATGATCTGATTATTATAGCTTTGGTTTACAAAAGAATGTAGTTATATTTACGATTAATCTCCACATCAAATGATCTATTGAGTCAAGCAAATACTGGAGATCTTGTAAAATATACAACGAGTTTATATTTACTCTGAATCATTTGAGATAAGTTGAATTACACAAGATTCATATAAATATTCCTGATCTCTTTGGTATAAATGAATAAAATCCTCGAAACATTGAACTATAGCTTAACAACCTCTTTCAGTTTATGAGGGTTGGGTATCTTGATTTTCCAGGTTTGAGAGGTTTTTATAGTAATCAGCTATAGTTTGAATGTGAAGTGAATTAATTCTTGAAATATCAAGTTAACATATAAAGAACAGTTCGACCAGTCTTGATCACGCATATATGTTCAGCTTTTCACATTCCGCAAAGCATAAAAATATATAAAAATGAGTTCGTTATAAGGTATTTCTTCTCTGGAATAGTTGTAAAGGATATTGATAAAACCGGAAGTATAGAGATTTAAACAGTCATTAGTAAAACAACTATTCTCCACACAGGTTTATCATTTTAATTCCTACCAAATGATCACATTTTCCCGAATAATAATAAATCATAATCATGAAGTCATATATATCATTGATTTTAGTCTTTCATAACTAATTACAATCTAGATTTTTTGGTCAATAATTTTATGGTAATATTCTAACAACAGGCCAATTCTTGGATTCATTAATTTCTGTCCAAATCGTTTGGATGAAAATTATCCCATGAGTAAAGTGTTACTGTATACAGCAATTCATGAAATGGGACATGCATTAGTAAGTTGTGTTGTGTCCACCTCTTTCTAATACACAAATTCGATAAACTTTCAATCAAAGTAGCCCTTATTCTAATGCACCACATTCCTATATATAAACATATTTTGTAAATTGCTAGTTATAAACACGTGTTCTTTGCTTAAACATAGTTTGGAGATAACTGTATAGCTAAATTTTTGTGGCTATTCACTTTCATCAGGAAGATTTATGTAGCCAAAACCTCTATGTTTTTCACTTATATACAGAATATCAATCTCTCTTAAATTAAACATTCTGCCATAGAATCTTGAAAAAAGATGAGTTGCTATTAGACTTATTAGTTATCAACTGATCAGATGTAAATGTTAAGATTAACTATTATGAATGAGCAAAATTTATTGGTTTTTGAGTACGATTTTAAAAGCGAAGTTGATTGACATACCGTTGTTGAAATAAATAACTCGTTTAAACATTTAACATCTATAAACTTTACTACAAGCCAATTGCTTGTAACGTATATTCTCTCTTTTACCTCGTGTTGACCATATTTACTCTAATCATTTGTCTCACAATTTCATTTCACTTATAAACTGATTTAAGTTAACACTTCATATCAGTCACCCAAACATTAATGATTTGATTTGATATGACAAACAATCCTTGATTCACATGTTACAATTTTAAATGATGCACCTTACCTTAAATCTGACCAATTTTATGGATTGTTAATTTGGACCCTGAATAGAAACTATGGAAAAGAAAATTCTTCGTTTATATAATAGTATTATAATATAATGAGAATTTTCCAGCGATATATTCATTTATTCTTTAATTCAGTAGAGCCTTATTTTTTCTGTGATTGAAAAGAATTTTCTTTCTCAAGAATTTACACAGTTCAGTATTGTTATAATTACGTGTTAACTTGGTGATTGCAAATAAAATTTATCTTTTAACTAACAGTTTGTATATAAAATATAAAAATCATTTTTATTTAAAATGTATTCAGGGTTTGTTGATTTGTGTATTAACTATTCAGTACTCCTGAACTTCAGATACAAGTAGTAGGTTGAGCAGTTTCCCCTCAGTCATATCTAACTTTGAAAGCAAAATTTACTTCACTGTCAAGGTATTTAACTCAGTATTATAGTGTAACTATAAAAAAATTGGTCCTTTCAACGTTGATGCCTAGTTGGTATGACATTAATTATTATTAAGTGTTAGAAATAGTTTTGTGGAGATTTTAGTAATTTCAATAGTTGAAACCGTGAGTCAATTGAAGCTAGACCACCATGGAAAACCTGGAAGCACTGGACGGCCGTTTCGTCCTACTATGGGACTCCTCAGCGGTGCGTGTCCTGGCTCCGTGGTCTAATGGTTAAGCGCTCGCGCACAAGACTGATAGGTCCTGGGTTCGAATCTCGCGGGGGGCGGGATCGTGGATGCGCGCTGCTGAGGAGTCCCATACTAGGACGGAACGCCCGTCCAGTGCTTCCAGGTTTTCCATGGTGGTCTAGCTTCAACTGACTCATGGTTTCAACTGTTGAAATTATTATTGAGTAATCAATGAAATTAGATAATTTACTTTTGTATCTCTGGATACTTTGCTGAATAAAGAATTTATTAAGCTCCTTTTTCTTACTGAAATTTCCAAATATGTCTTTGTTAGAAAATACGATAATTTCATATACTTTCTGAATATGTTTTATAGAAGCCTTGAATATATTTTCATAGGAATAATTCTGTGGTCTGTTACGGTAACCTACCAACCCTATCATTCTACATGAACGTTTAAGTGAAATTAATTACTTATTCTAAATTTAAAATCGTTTTGCATATACAGATGCTGTTGTCATCAGATCAACTCTTTACTACTATTATTCACTGTATAAATCTCACATTTATACAAATTTAATTGTTGTTGTGATGCGTTAATTTATTATTTCTATTATTATTATTATATTACTATCTGCTGAAGCGTTTAAAAATGAAAAAAAAGATTCCTATTCAAACAACTTCATTTCAGATTATTTACGAAGGTACTTAGAGTATCATTAAAAGATTTTTAGTCGGATTATTTGGAGTATATTCTCAATAAACACAATTACACAGACAAATTTATTTGCTTATTGTAAATTAATGAAGTTCATTGGGTTTTCACCAGTTTTTTTGAAGTTTCCTAATGTGTAAATTTCTAAATGGAATCTTCTGGATGCGAGACTAGTTAACAAACCTTAAACTATATGGACAACAGACCAAAAATCCAACGTGAAACGTAGAATTATTTGATTTGGACTCGTAAGTGATATTTTTCCTAATAGATTCAAGTTTTCTCGGTTTGATTCCAGATAATTTCAAAGGTGTTTCAAATGAAATGAAACAACTGCGTAAAATATTCAATAGTAATGAAATTATTTTTTTATTACTAATTTCCAAATATTTATTCTTTTTAACGTCCCACTTTCGCAACTAATCGAATGTATAAAATGAATGAGATAAACGATCCAACATTCCTTTCATATTTAGGGGTTTAACAGAAATCTTTACGCTTTTTATCGTGACGAGCATGGCAGACCACGAACGCAACGTGATCCTGTTACAGGAATGCCAAGTACTCCGAGGGATGAGTTTGGAATATTTGCTCCTAGGTAAGTCATTGACGATAATTAGTGATTCCAATGAGTAAATTTCAACTCTTAAAAAACATTTTAAAAAATCCTTAGAATAACTTGTGTTAACTAAGTTATCGATTTTTCAATGTCTTGATAAAGTCTGTTCCATAAATAACAGAGCTGACTTTACTAAACGCTAAAAAAAGATTATATTTCGGGGCATCAATACAGAAAGTCATTCATTTAAACTAACAATCAGTTTTTGATATTCATGAATAAATCTCGATGGATTGCACATTCTTTTAAAAAGTAATATATGGTTTTAAAATCGATTAGTTTCCCAACTAGTAGTTTGGTTCAACTTTCAATCAGCATCAGTTACATACACATGCAGTGAGACAAATAAAACAATACGTTAGTAATATATATATATATATATATATATATATATATATATTCTTACCTCATCAAAGATGTGGATTTAGCATTTGTGGTACCTATATAGCGATACAACTTACGGTCATTAATAAATCAACAAAGAACAAATTATTGGCTTTTGCTAACCTAAGCAAAATTTAGTGGCAATGCCGAAAGACCATTTATTTAGTGAGCAGCCTCTTAGAAGATACTTTGCTAGAATTCTTAAAGCGCCTTTAGCTATGAACTATTGGAAAACTATGGTAGTAAAGAAAAAGTGTTTTTCAATCCGAGTTGGATTATTTTGTCAAATTTTTAGATATTTTGAATTGCTAGCTGATCCCGAAAGGGAGAACAAAACGTTATTCTTATTCTTGTTTATAATTCCATCAGTGAGCTGTTAGGGATTGAATTTCCGATTAATCTTTTGACCCTGAATATGAACATTACAATAACTCGAGCCCTTGCTAATACCGATGAAGCCATCATGTTGCTTAAATAAATTAGTCAATATAGGGACTTATTAGCTCAATGGTGACGCGTTGGACGTCTGAAGTGAAAGATACTGGATTAGGTTCCCAATGGGAGCATCGACACCAGGATGCAGGTGCATCCAGTTGACAAGTCTCAGAAAAGATGAAACAGGAGTCCCGAATTCCACTTCTAACCACAGTTCATCTATTTTATGGAACTGGCAATAAAATTGCTATATTGAGGTAAATAATACAACATGTACATACACCAACAAAGGTCGTAGAAAAATTCTGTCCTCAAATACCATAACTTTAATAATAATGGTTCTTGTCACAATTTATACTGAAATTTCTTTGAATAGCCTAAAATTAAAAGAACCAATTCTTTAAGTAACATATCACTTAATTATTTATAACAATAGGGAGCCAACATCTTGTAAATATTATTTTTTTTAATTCAGTAACGATGTCGTTAAGGAAGTCACTCGCACTTGGAAATCCACAAAGGTTTCTTTGACACGGAAAATAGGAGCCTTTGTTCTTCCAAACGTTTTGGTATGTTATTTGCCCTCAATTTTTGTCGCCTTTTCTCAGTATTTATTGGTAATCATATATATAAAAATGACATTCTGATGTTAAATGACTATTAGATATTATCATTATGGGGATTCGCGGAGTTTTTAGTATTTTCACAGTCAAATTCATAAGTTGGTCTAAGCTAGATCACTGCTGAAAACCTGGAAGCACTGGACGTCAGTTTCGTTCTAGTATGGGACTCTTCAGAAGTTCACATCCACGACCCCTCACTCGGGATATTAATTAAAACTATGAAAATATATACGGACAAATACTAACCTGTATTAAAGTTTGTCATTTTGCAGTAGTACAGTTTTATCACGTTATATGAAATAAAACCTAAGAGCTACAGGTCGTATGGAGGATATGAGATCACTAAACGACTAAATTAAACTTATAATACTAGTCAAGCAGTTTAAAGGTCATGATTTTGATCTCGTATGCAGTCATGATTTCGTAGAGATGAAATTCCGAGATAGTCGTTCGATGTTCACTGATGTTTTAGCTAGTGTTATTTTATGATGAAAACAGTCATTTAAATGATTAAACTCAGGATGTTGGTTAGTCTACACAAAACAACAATGAATCCCCAGAAACACCTTGTGTAGTCAATAGCTGATTTTAATATTTACTCTTGATAATGAAGCCATTCCAATTCGAATAAGATACACATATGTCAGTATCAGAATTGTGCAGATTACTGAATTTTACTGAGATCACGAGTCCATCAAAGCTGGGTAACAAATGAAAACCTGGGAGCACTGAAAGGTCATCCACTAGAGCGGAATTCTGGGGTTTTGCTGACAAGCCATGGTCAGTAGAGCTTAACCGTGTGGAGTGTGAGGAGGGTACTCACCAAAAGCAACAGTAGATGGTCACGTGATATAATAGATTGGTCGAAATTATACTTTCAGTCCACTGGTCTAGCGTTCAAGCCATTGTGTGCTGGACAGAAAGTCATAGGTTCGACCTCCAGTGATAGGATCGTTAATAAGCACTGTTGAGGAGGTCCATATTGGGAAGATATAGTCATCCAGTGCTTACACATTTTAAATTGTTTTCTGCCTCAGATCGGTTTATGACCTCATCGAAACATACTTCGTTTTGCTTTAGAAATTTGCCAGAAGTCATTTCAATTGCCCGAGTTTAGACGGTGTGGATCTTGAAAATGAAGGCAGTAGTGCCACACATTTAACACATTTCGAGAAAAGAGTTGTGCATGTAAGTAGAAAAACACGAGGTTTTCGTCTTCCATTTATTCATGCTGAGTAAACTGATAGTTTTATTTAATCAAGTATTAGATTGTTGTAACGTGAGATGCTGCAGATTTGAGGTTAGCGAATTATCAATCGATTCAAAGACGCGTAAGACACGTAAGAACGACCTAGGGCTCTGATTGGTCCGCTTCCCTGTCTAGTCCAGCCAGTTGAGTCCAGAACGCAAGTATAATAAACAAACAACATGAAAATGACTGTATTTGTAGATAACTGTTTAAATGAACTGTGACAAAGCATAAAATGAAATTTTATGTACGTTAATATTAATTTAAAATACATGTTTAGGAATTCGTTATAAGTGAGTTCATACTAATTCATTGAATCCATACTTTATGTATTGTGGTAACCATCATTAACCATTTAGGATATTATGTATTTGATAAAAACTTAGTCTGCAGTCATAACATCAACTAGAAAATAATGAAATTAATTATTGTTTCCACAAGCATTTACGAAACTCCTTTGTTATTGTAAACATGTACTTAATAAAAAAACATTTTGTACCATAAAGTGATCCTATTCCATGTATATCAAGAATATAGAAATGACATAACTCGATAGCTTTGCTGCAGTTTTTAAAAAAAATCTAATTTGGGTCAATTAAATTTGTGTACATAAAGTATTAATGTGTTATTTTCTTCAGGATGAACTTATGTCAGGAAGTGTTGAACTACCGTCAGTTGTTTCAGGGTTAACATTATCAGTTTTCCAAGATTCTGGGTAAGTAAATAATTTCTAGATAATGTAAATTTAACCACTTGTTTGATCATAGTTTTTTTTCAATTTCATTATATTTTCCTTACTATTCAAAATACAGTTGCATAAATTTGGTATAGTTTAAATAAAGAAAAATAATCAATTGTGTTGTATTTCTTTGTATTGTTCATTCATTTAAAAGATTTTTGTTCATGACAATTTAGCAAAGTCTTCCTGACATACTTTAATTTAATGAATATAAAGACAGTCAGTTAGCAAATGTAATTTTGACAGTTATCGAGTTGATAATATTCTGTGACAAATAAGTATTTTTAAACTGAACTGAAATTTTCACACATCACTTATCTAAATAAAAAAACACAATGTGATTAATTATGATTGGAAACTATCGAAGTTACAGTAAGAGACTGTGTCCAATTGAATCTAATCATAATCACGGTAAAATAGAGATCACAGATAAAGGTGAGTGATTGTCATGAATCCCTACTAGTTAAGTGAAGATAAAAATGTGGATTATACAATTTCTACTTAGTAATCTATTGGGTTTATACTTAACTTGAAACCCGAAGGTTTTAAATTTAATCAAACACAAATAACGTATAAATCTAGGATAAGTAATAGTTTAATCTTTATTGGTCCTTTAGTTGATAACTGTTTATGACAGAAGCTGTCGTTAAACTAAGTAAAATAATCTAGAAGTACAGGTCGATGTGAAAGTATGCTTCAGTTTCCTAATCATTAAATTCGTTAATTCTAAGATCGAATTATCATTACAAACCATCGAGTATAAAGAACCAGATGTTGGATGTAAACATTTCAGAGTTACACAAAATTTATAGGATTTTCTTAGCGATAGTAAATCAAAAAATTAACCAGAGTGCTCTTCCACAATGTTTAGTGTTTACACTTCCATTATATGAATCTACATGAAGTATTTACAACTAATTTGACATGCGTAGTCTGGGATTTATAATCCGTAACTATGTATTTATTCATCACTGACTGATATTTACAGTATTCGAGTTTCAGTTTTTCATATGACAAGACATAATGATGAGGTATTTTATATGTTATAAAGTCCAGAGAAAATCATATTCAGCGATCAAGTATCTGAGTTCAGGATGATACTATTTAACACTTGAAGATGAATTTGAACTATTTAGGCTACCTTGCGTTTTAATGGGTTAACCTTAATTTTTCAGATTCAACTAGGAAATTATAGTGTTCTAAGTCGTTTGTGAACTACTTATATGCTTCATAAGTTATAAAGTAAGGTTGAGGGACATGTAGACTTTATTTCTTACGTACTATATATCTAAGTGTGTAGTTAACGAGAACACAAGTCGGGGACAAAGAAGTCTATTCCAATGCAACACTACAGAATATCTTAGTAAAATCTGAAAACCATACAGTAAATACTTCATTTGCAAAATGTTAATCAGTCGTTTCGAACTTGATTGTTCCTTCGTTTCCATACCAATCACTCTCTGTTCTCGTTCTTTTCTCTTCAATTTCCTTAATCTTCCGCCATCAGGCATCTTACTTTCTATTGGCGATACATAGTATATATATATCTGTTGATATCAGTAGCACACATCACAAATGAACTCTATTTATTTATTATTTCTGACAGTATTACATTTCTGTTTTATAATTTCTTATACCAGGTGGTATGACGTCAATCATAAGATGGCCGGAAACTGGAAATGGGGGAAAAATTTAGGATGTGAATTTATTACAAAAAGTTGTTCTGAATATATGGCCATAAGAAGATCCCGGTAATTAGTGTGTCAAAAAGTGATATTTTTTATACTTTGTATTTTTATGGTCAATGGAAAGTATGAATTCACAATTTTTAATTAAGAATGGAAATGCCCTTCACGAAGGGTAAAAGGCGTAAGGTAAGTAAGATTCAGTATTGATTAGAAAATCAGACTTTAAGCTCTGACAATAATCCCAGGATATACCTCGTGAAGCCAGTCACTAGCGAGCATATTTTTGAATAATATCAGATGGGTTTTTGTGGAGATTGTAGTAATTTCAATGGTTAAGATCATGAGTCAGTTGAACATATCCTGGAGTTCTAGTGAGAAGTAGTGACCGGTGGAGTTCAACCAGGTCTGTTGTGAGGTAGTAACTCAGTGAAGACAATGGTGAATGTGTCGCTCAATTTCGTGGATTAGTTGAAGTTAGACATTAACACCGTTGGATGCCAGCCGGCTCAGTGGTCTAGTGGTTAAGTGCTTGGGCGCTAAACCAGTAGGTTCTGGGTTCGAATCTAGCAGGGGGCGAGGTCGTGGATGCTCACTGCTGAGGAGTCCCACAATAGGACGAAATGGCCGTCCAGTGCTTCCAGGTTTTCCATGATGGTCTAGCTTCAACTGACTCATGATCTTAACCATTGAAATTACTACAATCTCCACAAAAACCCATCTGATATTAGTCCAAACATTTGTTGTTTGTGTTGAGTGGGGTTTAACTTCGGGCCAACAGAAGTTTCACATTTCTTTCGTGATATGCCTATAGATTATTTTCCTAGGTTCATCTCTGTATGAAGTTCTAATTACAGGGTATGTAAGGATTCGCGAGTTCACAAAAACTAACATATCATCAATAGGACCTTCAGGTTTCCAACTGGAAGTATAGCATGATGTGAAATTTACAATATCTTGTAAATATTTGAACATACTGTAGATCAGATTTTATGAGATTGAAAACTCTGTTTAAGTAGACGATACTTTCTACTCAACTTCGATTTAAGCATTTTAACTGTATATATTTTCATGACTTGATTGTGGAGTTAACTACTCTAAAATGTTTTTATTTAAAGTATTTGAAGCATATTAATTATACACTAAGTTCGTAACGTCAGTTTAAAGAACATAAATTCCTCAGTTTTCCTGAAAAAAATCGTATTAAGTGTTAGATACCTTAAATTAATCAGTCTATATACTCGCCGACGGTCCATTCAGTTCTTACAAATAGTCCTGGTTTTCATTTATAGGTGTGAACCCTTTCATGCAACAGTTTGGACCGAGTTCTTTGTGTGTTAATCATGGAAATAATAAAAGATGGGTACTAAACACAAACAGAGGTATTCAGAGTACCGGTGATATGGGAGCATCATGCCACGTAGTAAGTATTTACTAGACTTTTGTTTAACACTACTCCATATTAAGTTTCCACGGTGTCATAGAGGTAAATTGTTATTAGTAATGTTTAGTCATGCGTACTGAAGCCTATGCTCCATTGGTTGCTGTGGTTAGCTGTGATTATTGGAATTCTGCATGTATCACTACTTTCCACCAAATCCAAACTAATTCTTTTGCTACAGTGCCTATCTGTCTAAATTTCAGTTAAATTTTGAGTGAATTCCATAAAACCTTTTTACGGTAATCAAGTATTTAACCAGAAATATTCATATTGTTCCAGTCTATTTTTAGCTAGAAATCCTAAACTGTTTCGATCTTTCATATAACTTTCAAGAATATATTATGTAAAATATTTGCACGTACATACTGTGGAATCAATTGTTTAGTCATCATTACCACTTTGATTGATCCATCTGACGTATAACATAAGCATTGAAAGTTCTACATAAAATAACTCCGAAAAATAAATTTTGATTCAACAGACGTGAGTTTGATTACTATCATATATTATCGACAAAAGTGTCTGAAGCCTATTGATTTGAAAACTTTACTAGATAATGAAAGATGTGTTTTTCACTCATTCACTCACTCACTCACTCACTCACTCACTCACTCACTCACTCACTCACTCACTCACTCACTCACTCACTCACTCACTCACTCACTCACTCACTCACTCACTCACTCACTCACTCACTCACTCACTCACTCACTCACTCACTCACTCACTCACTCACTCACTCACTCACTCACTCACTCACTCACTCACTCACTCACTCACTCACTCACTCACTCACTCACTCACTCACTCACTCACTCACTCACTCACTCACTCATTCACTCACTCACAAACCATCTTCACCTTAGCATTTCTCACTAGCTTTCTGATTATTACGTAACTACCACTCAATAACTGATTTATGTAAACTATTTATGGCATGATATCACCTTAGTTTTTTAAAATTATATAATATTCTTCTAGTTTACCACTGTTTTCAGTAAATAAACTAAATGTAAATACGATTGCAGAGCTGAAGTAAGTAAAATAATAGAAAGGAAATAAAAACGGAGATTAGTGAACCAATCTTCCTTCTTGCTCTCTTTAAGATGGTAAAGGGAACTATTTGTAGGAAAAAGATATTTCCTTATTAGAATGCCTTTATTTCTCTTCTGTGACACAACAGACTTCTTTAACTCGATGTTTTTTTGTCGGTTTAATCAGGTTTGTTCTTATTATCTTCTTAAGTGTCATATCACGACTACATTTTGTCACAGAGAATGAAATTATCCTTAATGTGAATAGTGGTTAGCAGGTTTTAAATAAAAAGTTTCGAGGTGATAAAGTAAAAAATTTATTGCACCTCATTATGTACATCAAAACATACCACCTCGTAATTTTACAAGGTAGGCACTAATTCAAATACATCGAAAAATTGAATGCATATATTTTCGAAGTTATCACTATAAATATGGTGATACCAATATTCTTTCATGAAGTGGAGGGAATAAACTTTGTATCAAGTGTATATGTTGAATAATAAGTGGGTGTTCGTTTTCTAGGCAATCATTGAGATTTTAATATTTACACTTCCTTTAAATGTTTTACTACTAAACTACAGTACCGATGTGGTAATGGATTAGCGATTATGATAGGACCGAATACTATTTCGTGTCTAAAACAGGGAGGAACAGTGTCTTTAAACGTACAAGGCAATTTAGGATTGATCAAAGGTTTTGTCCAGTGTCCACCATGTAATGAAGTGTGCAGAGTGAGTCGAATTATGTTTTAGTGTTCTTTATTTATTGCTATTCACTTGGAATGAAAGTTAGAATTTATAAGCGTTTGCATATTTTTCATGCAATGACATTACATTTAACAACTTCTGGTTGTTAATTTTGCAATATTTCACTATCTAACGATTTACTGATTGGGTCAAACACCTAAATTGATAAGGTATTATTTCACTCCATTATGTTATTTTACATAACCGTCTTATCTATAGGATCTAACTTAAGATTTTTTAGTTTAAAGATAAACAGTAAAGCCTTAGATCATGAAGTCGAACCTCAGTAGTACTTATTACCTAGTCTCATTCCCAAAATGGTTAGAGATTATCGATCACAGCTTTGCCATATAATTTTAGGAATAAATCTCAAACCTGATCAACAGCGAAAACTTGCTTATAATTATCATTACTATTATTTAGATAGTAGGGTTTATTTCATAAATAAAAGTTATTTATTCTTTGTTTATTTTACTCTCTTACTAATCCGTATTATTGCCAATTTGCATAACTACTTGATAAGTAATAATCTGTATTCACTTATTATTGTATTTTCTTTTACTACAGCGATGTTAGATTACAGAATAATTTGGATTAAATAAAAGAAATATATTGATACGATTAATAAAACAAATACATCTTATTCAATTTCATTATGTTAAATATAAAACTTTTTGTGTTCTACCTAGTGAAAAATCGTTTATAATAAACAAATGAAATACATATAAGTAATCTCTTTTGTTTTATTTTCATTCTGGAAAATTAAAAAAACGATTCTTAAAATTGTCAGTGGGTGTAAAACATAGACGTCATATATAGATGATCATTTAAGTAGTTTGCATTGTGTATGTGTGTGTGTGTGTGAAGTAAATAAACAGTAACTCATGTCACAATATGCAAACCATATTATCTTATAAGCAAAGATGGATAGTGGCTAGCAGTGGAATCCATGATGTGCGTCTCGACCTATTTGGGACGCGTCAGCTGGATTTACCTGTATCTCCGAGTTGATGTCCACTCTGGGACTCGAACCCAGTACCACCCACTTTAGACGCCATCGCGTTATCCACTTAGCTCCTGAATCCTGATAGGCACTTGCTTGTGCAATGGGGTGAAGTTTAATTAACTTGGTATTGTTTTACTTGAATCTAACCACTGATGTTTAGGACTGCAATCGATCAGTGAACATCAACTCTGAGATGCAGGTGCATCCAGCTGACGAGCCTCAAATAATATGAAACACACGTCCTGAGTTCCACTGCTAGCCCCTATCCATCTTTGCTTATAATGCTTGTAAATTAAGGCAGTATCGAGGCAATACGCACAGTATGCACATATGCCAATAAGAGATTGATTAATTGCAGTCCTAAACATCAATGGGTAGATCCAAGTAAAGCAATAACAAGTGCATATTATCTTACGGTAAAGTAATATTCATATGACATCTAATCGGTTAGACGTTAGTGGCATTTACTATACTTACACATTATTCACATATCAGACCATCAATACTATGTTTAAGATCTTTCGAATAACATTTATATATAACTGATTTTGTGAGTTTTTAGTTGTTATTATCATCAGTTATTTTGTTTGGATTGGTTTTTGATCCTCTTGAGTTCACAGTCTGTTTACACAATTAATGATGACAGACTAATCTTTTATTTATTTTTCAATTGTAAAATTTGATTACATTAAAAATTGTTCATAGAATTTTGAATACAAATTAATTTATCTTTTTTTGATGTCCACAAACGTAACGTCTGCAAAACACAGTCAAATTTTCTCACTGATCACTGGCAAAATAACCGTTCCCAACAACTGCATGAATGTTTCTCCTAATAATTTGGATATCAGAAATTGCACTGACCTACCTTTTATATTAAACTTCTTTTGTGAGAGGAAAACATTTTGTGCTGGTAAGCTTTTTCATTTTCTGACATCAGATCTGTGTTTTTCGAAAGATCTATCATTGATGAGAAGATAAGTGAATTACATTTCTCAGATTTGATTCAAGTGTTCAGTAATATGGTAGAATTGAAGGACATTTTCGATTTGTTGCTTTTAATCTAGGTGTCCTTAACGTTACTCAGTATTTGTATCAAAAACTTGATAGCATAACGATATGATTTTACTCTATTGCTCAGTTTTCTTGAAGAGACATTTGAATTGACAATGTACAAGTTTACGATGGTAGAGGCGTGAGTATTTACAACTAAATAGAGTATTTTAGGTCTTAAATAACCTACCCTTCTATTTGGTTTGTCACTGATTTGTTAGTGTATAAGAAGGCCAGAGATCTGGGGACATTTGATTGAGGTTCTGAGCTTATTGATCCAAGAACTATTAATACAATGGTAGGTAAAAGATAAAAATTGATACGAAATGTGAAAGTTTGTTTATGATAAGTACCAACTGTGATCCAACACTTACTAAAATAATAAATTCGATTGACAAAAGGTTAACGGAAAAATATGATCATGAACATAAGATTGAGGAGATTTTTGAGTGTTGTTGAAATCACGAGCCGATGAAGGTTAGACAACTATTGAAAACTTGAAAAAACTAGTTGACCGTTTCGTTCGATTATGGGACAACTCAGCAATACGCCTTCATGACTCTGAAGCCGGGAATCGAATTCAGGACTCTTGTGCGTGTAAACCTAACCTGTAGACCACTGCCAGGAGAATCAGTGGTTTTATGGTTTGACTTTAATCACACCACGATAGTGAGCGGCTACCTATTGTCTTTGATGAGGATCTTTCTCAAGCACTGTTCATATTAGGACAAGACGGCCGTCCAGTGCTTTCAGGTCTCCGGTCATTGTTTAAATTAGGCCGGTTTGTGATTTCAAATAAAAAAATTGAAGGCATATTTTAATGTTTGAAAAATGTCACTATCCAGATCCGGCATATAATACACAGAAGACGTCCACTAGTACAGGTAAAAGCAGAAATACGTCATCACAAGCAATTAAAACATATATTTTATAGCTTCAATGATACACTAAGTTTGACAAAACACTTTCATTTCAATATAACTACTTTGTCGTTTTGTTCATTAATAGCTTACAGAGTTCTATAAAAATCCTACGTAGTAAATGAAATGGTAAATCAAACGGTAATTTTAGTTATGTTAGATTGGCTTAACGATAGATAGTCTAGGCGAAAAAAAGATTATTAGTAACATTAGGAAACATTCTGAACTCAATCGACCTATGGGCAATAGACATGAAGTTAGCTGGTGAAAATTGATTTGAAGCTTGGGTTTGGATGAAGTTTATTGACTCAGATCACTAGTCGACTACCATACAATTCCGTTTCGATGTCATGAAGGCTTTTATCTGGTAGTAGTGACCTCACAGAAATGAAATGACCAGAAGGTAACAGAGACTAAGAATAACAGCTAACGAGTACTCCCAGTATCGTTTATGATATAGATTTTTTGTTATTTGAAGGATTAAGCGGCTCTTCAGCCGATGAATCATCCTATAAATAGGTGGTGCTGTTGAGCTAGAATCCCGGTTCTCAACAGAACTTCAACCTTCCCACTTGCTTGAGAAAATATGAGTATTTCGGTGGTCGTAGTCTATGAACTCGACAATTAACACATTTAAACAACAGACGCAGCTGCTGCAAATAAACAACCACGATGTAAGAAGCCAAAGAAACGGCAGTTAGGGTAAGCTTTGGATGATTGTTGATTAAAAATGTGAACTGTATCACGATACAAACGAACAAGAACTGTTTTGATCGATTAACAGTATTGATACGATCTTTCCAAAAAGCGTTGCAACTTTCTTACTTGATGTCGAACGGGGATTCGAAATGCTTAACAATACAAGTGAACTACTTCTAACAGTAGGCACACACTATTTTTACAGGTGTCGTCGATAATGCACAAATGTTAACGGTAAGGTTAATGCTCCAGTCGGGTCATTTAGAAAGATTATGTCACCACTTCGAAAAACTTTGGAGATAGAAAGTTCATTGAGGTTTATTAGCTGCTCATTAGATAGATTTAGGCAACAAAGCTGTTTAGTAAGTTTGTCGTCACCATAAAGTGACAAAAATATGGTGCCTATTTGAGCTGTGACATTGCCGAACGAGTATGTTAGGTATATTGTTCAGATTTAGGTGGAAATTTCATACCTGAGTGTAGCGAACGTAGTGCTGGAAAAGGAAAACGATAAAATTCAAACGGAAGGAAAAATAACTATATTTGGACGACAAGACCTAGTTTTTAGCAATGATGCATATTAAGGCATGCTTAATTGATAGATTAAGCTCAAATTAAATGCTTTCTCTAGGATGGATTACAGTTAAAGGATCAACAGGGAAATGAGTTACCAAATGTAACAAAGAGGGATCTATGCGAATGACGAAGGGACAGCTGAAGTCAAATGCGGGGAAGGAGTCTTGTAATATCTAAAATGTAAAAAGGGAACAGTATATTGTGTAGTTTGAGTGAAGACTCAATAAAATATGTGTCTTCTTTGAATGATTATGAAAGTGGATTATTCAGTGTTGAAGGAATAAAATCATGTAGCATTGAAACTGTAAAGTTTAGAACGTGAGGTTTGGAATATATATAAGATGGAAAATTTTGATGAATGAATGGTGTAGCTGTGGGCGAACGAACGTTTACTAAGTTACAAGTTCGCATGTATTTTTACGGTATTTACTTATTTTGAGGCACTATTATATCCCTAAAGTTTTAGTTTACAGAATTAATATTATGGCATTAATGCAAATACTGAAAAGCCAGTATAAATAAGGGCTCTACTTAATTGCCTGACAGAAGCATGAAAGCCGTCCTCTATGAGTGTGTAGTGACTCACATTTATCTCGGGAACACGACTGGTTTAATAAAAGCAATTATTGTTATAACCAACTGTACCAGTGCTTGTTTTAATGTGCTTTTGTTTGACTGTGCTAATGACAGCTATATTGTGTTTCGATTCTTATTCTTACACTTTGATTGTGACTTCGCGCGAATTCGGTTACGTTCTGTAACCAAGCTTGTATCCTGGCACGATCTCGGTATCCTTTCGATGCCACGAGATCGCCAGCGAATATATCTCGATTTGGTCCATTAACTGTCTTCTGATATTTGGCTTCTCGGGGATTCTATGGATTTATTTGGTTACGTTCAACCTTCGCCTTCTGATTTACTTGGCACGTGTTTCTTGGTAGCGATGTTCATAGTCAATTCCGACTCGATGCCAAGCTATAAGTGTTTTTGAAAGAAGGCTATTCTTTGTCAATGAATACCTAGTGATGAACGAGCTTGTCTGAGTTTTGTTTCATATTTCTAAAGTTGAAGCACTTTATAATAAATTTCTTATATTCATGGATCTAAAGTGAGGGATGTGATATATAGGGAATTATTTAGTTTCTATAGTAGTGTAACGGTGAATAAATCCCCAAAATACATAGCTCTTTAAGTTTTCGACATTGGTTGCTGACCATATTAGTTTTAATGGACTCACCTAGCTAAAGGCTCTCGGTCATGTATCCACACCAGATCACGAGTGGGAACGCCGTGCTCAACAACCCCTGCAATCGCTAGCCAGATTAGATCAGACGATCCTCGATATATTGATA